AAAGTAAATTTACAGCGTAATACATTTGATTCTCGGCTGAGATGTTATTTTTCGCAATAATCTATTTTCAGTTTTTTTAGGGATTCGGAGATCTTCCAGATATTTGTTATCAAAAATATTAAATTGTTTATTACCTTAATGTAATATTTTACGTATTCTGATTTCCGATTTCTGATATAAGGGATTTCAAGACCGACAAACGGCGCGCAGTTCGTATGACTATAAATTATAATTTCCACATAGATAACGATTTAAAATGCAAGCGACGAACATCCAGTGTTGGTTCACATAAACATTTTTCAATACACTTTTGACAATTTTGAATATTTACATAAAATGTAAATATAAAAAATATGAAATGTAAAATATTTCATTATTTACGAAATTTTTCTACATTAAATAAAATATACATAGACAAACTTACATATTTCTCGTGTAAATTAAGGAAATGTAAAATTAATGTCATTTTGCATATATTTTGCGTTGATTTTTTTAAATTTACAGGACATGTTATTTTTATATTTATTTTTGGTATACATTTACTGAATTTTTTTTACAGAGAAAGCAAATGCTATCATTTCCACATCACCTTGAGGTAGATAGCTTGGCACGTTTTTTCTTAAATGAGTTTCCCCAGTACGCCTAATCCATTCTCGTTACATTTCTAATTAAGTAACTGCTCGAAGAGCTTTCCTTACACTTGCAAACAAAGTTCAGCTCTTCGGGAAATTTGCCGTGTTGCACGGTATCCGACCGCCATATCCGGAGTGATGATGTTAAAAGTTGCTATTATTTCATCACGTATTTCGTAGTTTTTCTTTACAAAACAATTAATTTCTGCATCCCAAAGTTTATATAAAAAAATCTTATCTTGAATAGTTACATAAAAAGAATTGAGATTTTCGTTATTATTTTTTAATTATAATTCGATTAGAGCATGCTTCCGCTTATCTATTTAGATAATTTTTTTATTCAGGTTGTAAACCGTTACTAAATTTCTTATATTATTTTTAAATGCGATTAGATAAATCTTTAAATTTTTCATGTTTTCATAATTGCGAATATCAAAAAATATATGTAAAATACTGTGAGGATATATAAGAATTTTTATTTTTTATTAATTCTCCTCATATTATCAATTCTGCAATTCATTCATATTATTAATACCGTTTATTTTTTTTCCAGTGGATACTATGCTATTATATATGTCAACAACAGCGAGCGAAAAACCAAGAAACATTGGAGACGCTCGAAATCGTACGGTGCATCGAGCGCGAGAGAGTATGATAGTATCTCTATTCTCCTCGCGCAGCGCTTCGAGCATGAGAGAGTATTCCTGTTTTCTTTTACCGTCCAAAGGTAATCGAAACCGCAAGGTAGTCGAAACGCCAAGCGCACATGGACGTGGCTTGTGTTCTGTGTGCATGCTCGCGCTGCGCCTCTACCACCGATGCTGCCATGATGCAGAGAGCTATTTCTGGTCACTGTCGCTAATCGCTATTTTGTTTCATTTACTAGTCTCTCCAACTCCCGTCTCCCGAACTCTGGTGTCCGACGAGCGAAATCCGCGGAGTCGGGAAGGCGGATCGTTATAATATTAATAAGATAAAGTTCTTTAAAATATTTTTTAAGATATTATGCTTTTAAGATATATTAAACATGTAAAAAATATTTTTTAAAATTTTATTACAAATTTGTAAATTTGTAGTTGTAAAAAAGAATATATTCTATAATATGTTTATAATTTCAAAAATATTTGAGACATTATAAAATCAATAATAATAAAATTCGGAATAATATTCTAAAAACATTTTACAAACAAGATCATATAAAACGAAAAATATTTAAATTTGAAATAAAGATAAATCTTTACATTAGGGGACACAACTCCGATGACCTCGACTTTGATATATGTTATAGAAATAAGGATACTGATCAACTTTTTCTTATAACTTAACTGGCGATCTCGTATAGTTTTTGAGATATACTTATATAAATGTTAGTAGATTTTTACATTAGGGGACATAACTCCGATAATCTTGATCCAGACATATATTGTCAAGGACACTCTCCTGAGTAACAATCAAAAGGTTTTAACCAGTAATTATTGTTTATTAAAAAGTTATACAAAAAAATTTGAAAAATACGTTAATTTTTATCACTGTATCAACATATAAATTTGAATTGAACTTTGTACAGAAAGTTGTAAACTCATGTGGAACTTCGCTTCGCATTGAAGTGTATGTTTGGAGACAATATGTTCCCCCCCCCCTACGAGAGGCTCCACTACTGAAAGATCTAACCTAACTCAACTCGTATTACAGTGGTGGCTAAATATCATTATGTATCATATTATCATTGTGATGAATTTGTTGTGGTTTATTTGTGATAAGTTTACGGGAACCAAGGTGAGATGTAGAAGTAGAGGTAAAAAGAGTGGCTAGTAGCAGTGTGAGCAAGAGGTTGGAAAGCGAGAGTGTTGCCTGGTGCTTGCTGGTTGGTGCGCATCCAAGTCATAGTTCCGGATGGCGATTGCTCTCTCTCATCGAGGCTTCGTTTCGGACCAGTCGTGTAGAAACTACCGCGGGATGAAACTTGAAGCAAAGGCAAAACGGAAAAGTGCCTCAAGTGCGAGAAGCGGTAGCATATGCAATAGTGTTAGGCTAATGTAACTAATTCTATAGTGAGAATTTGGGAATTAGGAAAGTTGGGATGCATGCACAATAACTTAGACTCTTGATTAGTTAACATAATACATGATATATTTAACTCCAACTATACACAGAGGTGAGATCTGCTTGTATGGCTCTGAGCAGAATAGGCACTGATTCGTCGGCCCGACTCCGTACTCGTTCCAGGAGTCTTTCCTGGCGTCTGGTGGCACGCATCAGAATCTTCGCGCCGGGGTAGAGGATAGAGCTTTAAAAGGACCTGGTTGTGGGTCGGCCTGCGTTGCGGCGTCTTCAAGGAATCGCCTTATATCTCGGTGAGGGGCACATCTGCATGTGCCCCAATTCTATTCTGTGCAGCCGCCACTTGGACCGACCGTTGTTATTAATATCTAGCGTCCTCTCTATCGTGGGCGATGCCTCAGGTAATGTCGCTGGCCGTGACGGACTAGTTTCCAGAGAGGATGTCAAACCGAAGAGGTCGAAAAATTTCTTCTTCAGGCGGCGGGCAGTCTTTTTCTTCTGGTAATTATGCGAGAACTATCTCGTCAGAGGAATCTCGTAGCTCGTCGATGGCCGCCGTCGTCCGGCCGGACCTACAGCGTGGGCGGCCGCTTGAGTGCCATTCGATGGAAGGCGACGTGGATGACCGCACCAGTTCGGCGTCGTCGGCCGAGTAGAACGGTGTTAGCGGCCGCGAAGGTTCGCCCGCAGACGGGCGGTTATGCGGCGTCGTCGAGCGGAGATGGACGATTTGGCCAGTTTTAACGGCCGCCAGGAGGTCACTCGGATACGAGCGGATTGTGCGGCGTCGTCCTATCACGGCGGCGGCATCGTCGGTCGCCTGAGAGATGCGCGCGGACACAAGCGGATAGTGCGGCATGATTGGTTTTAGAGAGTTACGAGGGATTGACTAGTGTTCCCATGTGATGGCTTTGATAGCTCTGATTGGCATAGAGCTGGCTTCATAGCTCCAAAAAAAGATAGTTGCAATACGAATTTTTAGCCAAGGAATTGAAGGCCATTGAGGCCAAGAATGATGCCCGCTGCCGTTCTTATATATCGTCGGTGGAGAAAGTTCAGCACGAGAAAGTGGTTCCGCCTCTCGCTACCTAGTGGCCGCGCGAACCACTGTGTTTGGCGGGCCCGCGCGATACGGCGCATCGCGATGCCGCCGAATAGTAGTGGCCGCTACATCATTATGAAAGATCATAAATCCATGTGTGAACCTCGCTTCGCATTGAAGTGTATGCTTGGAGACAGTATGTTCCGCCCCTCCCTCTATGAGAGGCTTTTAGCTACTTCTACTACCAAAAAATCTAACCTAAACCTAATCCAAAAAACCTAACCCAACCAGTATCACTAATCAATTAAATAATTTAACAATTTATCTTTATCATCGATAACGCTGAGAAACTCATGAGGACGCATGTTGACGATACAAACGACATATGACTAATACCTAATAAATAAACTGAAATAAATTGAAAGATACCACTAAAATATAAATATTACCTTGAAATAACATATATATGTATGTACATTATCCATCATATACAATGTGTCATATAAACAGAATAATAATATTTCAAAATTAAGCTTCATGTAAGTATAGCTCGAAAACTAAACAAAACCGCCGATTAATTTATAAGGAAAAGTTGATTAGTATCCTCATCTCTATAACATATATCATGATCAAGATCATCGGAGCTGTGTCCCCTATGTAAAGAAATACCAAAATAAAATTTCAATAATATATATTTTTTATAAAATATTTTATTATTTAGAAAATATTTATTTTTATTATTTAGAAAATTATTTAGAAAATATTTTATGGTGGTAAAAAACATTTAAAAAACTTTTGAAAATATTTCTAACAGATTTTCAAAGTGTTTTTGAAAATATTATCATAGAAAATTTTGAAATCATTTTAAAATATTGCTAAAATCTTTTTGAAATATTCTTTGCAATATTCTTAAAAAATATTTTTGTAGAAATATTTCCCGATGTTTTGTACTTTATGAAATATATGTAATTTACATTTAAATCTTGTATCGTGTATTAAATCGTGTATTTAATCTTGTAAACATTTTACATTGCGTATTTCATTGTATATTTTTTGCTTTAATAGCTTATATTATTCATAGGAATATATTATTAAGATGCTATTTACGCATGTTCGATCGATTATATAATATTAAATATCGTTGTTTCGAATATGTAAATCGAAAATTAATAACTGATGAGGAAGCGAAACATTTACTTTTTCATTATTATATGGTACATGAAAATTATAAGAAAATAATGATAAGAAGAAAGGAAATGACTTCAACTGATCTGTTGAAGGCTAGTATTATATCCTCAGTTATCACATATCAATTATCAATCTGTCGCATTCGGATTTGTATAAGAAAATCCGCGGAAAACACTTTGATCCATTGAAGTCAAGATTTGCTCGGGTATTGGCGTAAGCCTTGGACGTTCAGTTGTGAATGTCGTATCAAAGTATTTCGTATCCAAAGTGTGATCAAGCGCGGGTTTGAATGGCGGGTCCAATTGTCTCCTCTCTAATCGATCCCAAGACAAATGCTGTAAGTCGAAATATTGTTTATCTACACATCATATATTTCTGCCATATATATATAATTATCACAACAAATTATACCTGAAAGAAAACATGTACAGCGATTTCATGACCAAGTATTCTTTTCCCAGAATCTTTCTCTAACAAACAAACAAGTATATCAATAGCCTCTTGACTCAAATATCGAGGTATAAACGGCCTTTCATTACAAATGCTCCAGAATAGTTCGTCTTCATCACATCCAGAAAATGGTGATTGGCCAGTTAGCATTTCATACAGTAGGACACCGTACGACCACCAATCCACAGCTTGATTATATTTAAGTCCTTTTATAATCTACAAATTTAAGTTATTAAATAATTTTGTCTATTAAATAATTATTAATAGATGAAAAAAATAGAAAGAAATTAGAAATCAAAAGAATAATATACCTCTGGCGCCATGTAATCCGGTGTGCCACAAAACGTATCGGCTGTTCTATCCAAGAAGATTTGAAGTTTGCACATACCAAAATCTGCGATTCTAATATGACCTTCGAAGTCAAGTAGCACATTGTCCAGTTTAAGATCCCGGTAAACAATACCTTTTTTATGCAGAAAGTTCAATCCGGACCAAATCTCGGCGGCATAAAAACGCGCACGCGCTTCTGGGAATCGACCAGACTTCTGTATATGGAACATCAGATCACCTCCATTGAGATACTCCATGACGAAAAATAGATGTGAATCAGTTTGAAAAGTGCAAAACAGATGACAAAGATACGGATGCCTTGTGGCTAGTGTGAGAACCTTTCTCTCGATTAATGTACACTCAACATCATCATCTTCAAGAACAACATCTTTCTTCAAACATTTTACCGCATATAAACATTCTGTGCCACGTAACTCTGCCAGCAGAACTTTACCGAAGCTGCCTTTACCCAGGACCTGAGGAATAGAATTAAACTTTAAAATAGCAGCTCAATTTATTATATTATTTTTAATGAGATGTAATTAAATTTATGTACATTATCTTAATAATCTATCAACGGAGAAAGTACAATGCAAAGTTATTTATTTTTATGGATTTTTTTCATAGTCAAAATATTTAAATTATAGTTCTTATTCTTTTTTTTACATAATTATATTAATTATTATTTATTTCTAAATAATTTTTTCAAAATTTTAATTATAAAAA